GTGGGAGCTGCTGGGTCTGGGGGGGTTTCTGCCCCTGCAAACTGCCAACCGAGGGGCGTCGTTGTGTTGAGGGCAAGAGGAGCTTTCCTGGAGAGCACGTCAGCACATGTCGGCTGGGGGAGCGGCTGGACCTGCCGGGCCCACTTATCAATGGAAAATGGGTAAAAAAACCCCTCATTTCCTCACGGTCTCCTTAAGGTGGCACTTGCCGGGTGTTTCGTGGTGCTTTAAAACTGCTTGCTGCTGCTTTTGTTGCATAATCTCACCTTGTGGCACCTTCTCCCTGCTGCGGGGGTGTGGGGGCAGCCTGCAGGCTGCTGCTCCCGTGGGATTGTTGTCCCGAAACACCGGCGGTCACAGCAGTTATTTTGTCCACGTGAGTTTTTCTTTTCAATGTCCAAGTGTGCCACGGTTCTCTAGGAGCTTCCCCTGTGTCAGCCCACCCCTTCTGGGAGGGCAGTCAAATTGTTTTCCTTTTATTCCCCCTGGTACCGTGTTGACTCGCGCTGGCAGCCCGGAGTTCCAAGTGCTTGGGAAAGTCTCAGGGTTTTTCCTGTTGTTCCTTTCTGACCTGGGCATGGCAGCGCCGAGCGTGTCAGCGCGTCCCTTGGCAAGGACTGAGCTCCTGCAGCAGCCAGGAGTTAAGTTTACACAGAGGGACAGTTTTCTTCCTGTGACCCTCGGGTGCTCTCCTTGTGCTGCTACAGAGGCGGTCACAGAAAAACGGATTTAAAAGAGGAGGTGCCCTCTGGCTTTCCCCGGGTGGAAAAGTGTGGAAAGTAGTTTTTCTCCTTGGAGTTCAGAAGCTGGTGGATGTTGTTACTTGCGTGGCCTGCTTGGTTTGGGAAAATTCAACAATCTGGGACTTGTAGACACAGTCAGAAATCATTTTAGAGGTAGCTCAGTTTGCAGAGGTAGTTTTAGTGCTGCAGCTGCTGTCCTTGGGAAGGGTGGTGCTTTCCAGCTGTGTGCCTGCTCTTTTCACATCTTTTTAAAACTTTGCAAGACAAGTTACGTGCTGTATAATGCATCTGTTCTTACTCAGGCTTAATAACTTGAGACTGGAAAAATGCTGTATCTTAATTACATGGGGGGAACCTGCTCAGTCAGTACCTTGACAGCTCTCCTTGTCATTGGGAAGTGTCAAGGAAGGAAATGAGGAGAAGATTGTTGCTCTCTGTGACTTTTATCCCAGAACTCATCTCAAAACATCTCCCTGCTGTCAGGGAGCTGGAGATACAGGCCTGCCTGGCCAGCTGCTGCTCTAGGCAAGTGTTCACTGTTGTTTCCAGTAGGTTGGATTGTTTCTTGCCTGCCTGCTTACAGAAGGAGCTTTCTGAGCACAGACACAGGGCTTCTTTGTGCCTGAGATTCTGAGTTTTATATTTTGTACAGTATGAAGCACTGTATATCTGGGATTTTTACTGAGCTAGTATGGAAACACCACCAGGTTTGTTTGTTTCCCTTTTTTAATGTCCCCACATAGAGCTTTCTGCAGCATTTCTGTGGCTTTATTTCAGTGCTGTGGCAGACGCTGACTTGTCTGACAGGTTTTTGCTGCTGGGACTTTGTTCTGGGCAGGAAAAGGTGAATCCAACAGAAGCTGGATTTTGCTGCCTGGGAGCACTCACTGGGACAGGTGCCTTAAATAAAGATGTTGGAAGAAGAGGAGCTGGGTGTCTTTCTGTGGAGGAGCAGAGATTCAGGGAAACAGTAATTTGATGTATCTCCACTAAATCAAATAATCAGTGATAGATGTGGAGGTCTGTAACAACTTTTTTGTAGATGAAACTTTCTTCTCCCTCCTGTCAGCCAGCAACAGGCATCAGAACGTGGTGTGATGGTGTTTTCTTCCCAGCCCAGTCTTGGATTACCAGGTTGAGATAATCTAGTGAGCTATTCTGTCTGATTTTCTCCTGAAATTTCAGTGCTGCCCCTGATTTCTGTATACATCTCATAGCCTGTGTTTAACCAAACCTTATCTTCCAGAAAGGCATCCAGTCTTGATTTGAATGTGTTGGGAGGTGCCAGATAAATCTTTACCACCAGGTTACATTGTGACTTTATAGGTTAATTGGATTCAATAAGCCTTAATTTAATTTGAATTTAATTAGCTGTAATGTCTTCTGTTGGCTATTGATGAGCTTTTGTCTCTCACTAAATAATTCTCTATTGCCATCATGTGGATGCGATGTGAGTTACTAACAGTCACAGCGTGGCAGGAGGTGTCTGTGGAGGAAGTTGAAAATAAAAAGAAGAGAGGGAGATGGTGGGTGGGAGACTCTGGGCTAGTACAGCTTTCACAGGAACGGATTCAGCCTGATTGGTGCAAAAAGCCCAGAAAAGGCAGGTAAGGAGAAGGTAGCCTGGGGAGGCCTCTGCCTGGGTGTTGCTCTCCTTTTGCCCTGTACTGTGACACATCTCTCCTGGTGGCAGCACAGAGATGTCTCCTTGGAAGTGAGGGGCTGTGTGTGCAAACCAGCCAGCTTTGGCAGTGCAGGATTGGTGTTCCAAATGAAGTATTACTCAGCCACTCCTTGCACACTGCTCTCTAAGAAGCCGACCTGAGCAGCAGGGGCTTTACTGAGAGGCTGCCTGGAGGCAGAGGGGGATTTATCTGAGGGAGCTCAGGGACACAGAAGATCTGCACGTTGGCAGGAGCTTTTCCTGTACCCTCTGGTGAGGGTTGGCTGCGTGTTCCTCAAGCTTGTTGCAAGCTTAACATTTGATGGATATTTCTCATGCAAGAGAAGCTGGCAGGTTTGGAGCAGGCCCTGGTGAGGTGCTGTCTGTGCTGACCTGTGCTGCTGGCTCCCCACCTGCTCCCAGCTGGCCAAGTTTAGGCAGGCTGCTTCACTGAGCAGAGAAATCTTGCATCAGGGTGGTGCTGTGTCATCCAGGCTGTGCTTCCCTGCTGCTCAGGCATGTCCTGGCAGGGTCTGGAGTCTGGAACATTTGGGAGCCCCTTCTGCAGTCCCCTGAGCTGAGTCACAGTAGCTTTTGTCTCAGGTGCAGGGAGCTGCCTGCTGGGAATTGCATTATGAGGCCCTGTTACCTGTTCCTGGAACAAAGGGATTGCAGAGCTCCTTCCAGTGAGCTGGAAGTGGAGAAGAAATACCATTATACAGAGACTTTTTGAGAGTGAAATCGCCCCCTGGGCTTCAGGCTTCTCCCAGGGAGGTTGCTTTCCTTGGGATGGTGGATCCTGTGCAGGGATACAGTGTGTGTTGGAGGGTGTGCCAGGCTCTGGGAGCTCTGCAGGCTCAGCTGCTTCCATGCAGTTAAACCTGGCATAAGGGCACCTTTCTCCTCTTCTTGCCACTGTAGAGGCCTGCTCCAAGTGTGCTTTAAACTAAAACTGTTTAAAACCTGCAACAAAGGTTTCAACACGTTTAAACATACAAAAGTGCTGATTGTTTAAAATAGTTTTGAGAACTTTGCTTACCTGGTGAGCTCTGTAGAAGTAGTGAACAGAAACTTTTGTCTTTCCTCATTCAAAGGAAAGGAGCTGTTTTGCTGCAGCTTTGCTTTTGCCTCTGTTGCTCGTTGCCCTGTGGGGTATGTGCTGTTGTCCTTCTCTGAGTGATTGTTTCATGAGAGGCACCAGCTTGTGGCAAGGAAAATGAACGTTGCTATTTTGGAGCGTCCAAGTACGTACAGAGATTTAATCAATGTTCTGTGCCTTTAGAGATGTGCTGAAGACTTCTTGCTGCTCTACGAATAGGTACTTTTAAACGAGAGTTTAAGCATCTTTTGAAAGGCAGCCTGCAGCTTAAAACCAGCAGCCACCTCAGTATTTGGTGCAGCTGTAGGTGCCTGGAGCTTTCGGGCAGGGTCACGTACCAAGTCCGTACGTTGGTTGGTTGCCACCAACTATCTTCTTGTGGTCTAGATGGATGAGAGAGAGCTCATGTCACAGACGGGTGGTTAACCTCTTGTTTTGTTGATGCCTGAGTGCTTGCTTTGGCCCTCTGCAGTGTGAACAACTCAGTTCTGGGTCTCTAATTTTGGGTGTATTATCAAGATTATGATCAAGGTGGAATCTTTCTTGAAGGTTTGAAAAACCTCTCTGTGCCCAGTCAGAGTTGTTTCCCTGTTAATTACAATTTTGATTTTTGAATGTCGAAATATTTGTCAGGTTTAAATTGTTACTAATGTTTGTTGTATTTTCCTGTACCTTATTCTTCACAATAACTGAACCACTGCTGCAGAAGTAATAGATTTGTTGTACTGTTTGTTCTATTTTCCTAGAATTTCCAGCATGTGTCAAATGCTGAGTTGGTACCTGGAGGGTAGAGAGCTTTGACATCTGTTCCTCTTTTTATAACTCTTTCAGAAGTGCTTTTGTGACTTTGCCATTATTTGGAATAAAGAAAAAAATTTTTGTGAAAATCTGATGATAGGCTAAAGTGGAACTTGTTGGTTTAGTTGGCAGATTCTGTCTCTAGCAGTAACTATTAGTGCAACTTTTAAACCAAGAGGTAAACAGCACTGGCTGTTGGTTGGAATCTTGTTTCACTTAGAGACCTGACAAGAAGACCAATCAATAAATCCTTTGCATGCTGTTCTCACTGATTATTATTGTCTTTAGTTATTGCATCATTTACTGCAAACAGGAACTAATGCCAAGCAGTGGATAACAGGGGTGTGGTCCAGTTCACTGAGGCTGCTTTTAGTTTGTGCTGGAGATGAAAGGAGGTCAGGGAGCACTGGGGTGTTCCTGCTCCTGTCCCTCCAGGGAGCTGAGCTGGCTCAGTCTCCCCCAGAAAAGAGATACTTAAAAATTTCCTTATGCCATTCTTGCCATATACTTTATTTGGAAAATAAAAGCTCTGATAGTAATGTCCTTTAAAAACCTACAGTTTGTAAATGTGTCAGGAGAATGAATTGCCACGAAGAGGAGAAATTAGGATCAGATTGAACGCTGTTCCCTGGAAAAGCCCCACTGCTTTGCAGGCTGCAGTGTGGCAGAGGTGCAGTGACTGCTGCTGCTTGTGGGCTGCTGGAGTTGCTCTCTCTTGGTGTGTAACTAAGGAGCAGGGCAAGGAGTGTCATAAAAACAAAACTTGAATTATTTCGCTCTAGTGCCCCAGTGTTTGAACAGGGAAAG